TTAATGGCTTTTCCGAGAAGCCTCTTATATTATTCAAGTATTTAAAGATATAAATTGCGCACATAGCTTGAAACCTTGTAAAATTTTAATTAAAAGTATTGATGTTCTCATGATTTATGTCGGTCCAGTACTTGTTTACGATATTAATAGTCTCGTAACACAGTGAAGAAATATGTGTCGTTCACCTTGTATAACAAAATTTGATCGAATTAATATCGACCACAACTACCGAACTAATCAACAGAAATCAATGCAAAGTGGAGACTTAAACAGTAGCTAGCTCTAAGTCTATTTATTCAGTACTTTTTACATATTGATTATTATCGAGATCACATGACCTGGTAACTAGCAAAGCAACATTGATCATGCCTCAACCGCATGATATGGCTTGCTCTATAAGTCAATAATACGGTTTAAATTTAGCCGACATTTAAGTTAGTACAAAAAAATAACCCTATCAAGTTTTCAGTTACGGAGATACAGTTTAGACTTGTTTATTTAGATTTTTGATAAAAGACTTTATTTATAATAACCGAGAGACGGTTTGGTTTAGCAGCTTTTAATCTTGAACTTTACAGCCATCTTGTCCTTGATTTCATTTTCGAATTTCAGCTACATTAAAAAACAATTCATATACAGCAGGATGTTTTCTCTAAATTAGATAATTGTTTCCAAAATAATCGTGTCGTAAAATTTAGACTCAAGGTTATAATTATACTTCGTTTATAGAAGCACTGTCAAAATAACACCATGAGCCAGTTTAGTGATTCATATTTAAAATGGGCGAATCTTTTCTTTCTCATTTTATTTCTCACACTGAAACTTTAATTAATTTTGCGATGAATAAGCGTGTTAAAAAATACCAGTCCACCTATCAGTCTATTGTAGTATCCAAATAAACATTACATAATTATATCATTTAAAACTTTCTTTTAGAATATTCTTGTTTTGTTTTGAGATACGGAAATGGCTTTGAATTTAACAAAATTTAACAATTTTTTTTCCTCTTTAACTTTACCATCTACAACTTATAGAAAGGATTTTCTTCTTAGCAGACTAGAAAATTTAATTGAGTTTTAAGTTTAAAATATTAATGTTTTGGATGAAAAGGTTTTGAAATGCAATGTACTGTTTTCAATATTTTGTTAATGTATAAGTAAAGTAATGCCAAATAAAGTCGTTATGATTATGAATTAAGCAAAACGCAAATTGTTTTCTTAAGAATTCTACATTTCCATTCATTGTATATATTTGATATATATTTGTGTCTTTGCTAGTAAGATACATGAAGTTAGTTCAACCCTGTAATGTCCATCGCAACAGCACTATAATGTCAGTCAACCTAATCATTATGCCTATCAGATATTTTCGCCCTCTCGCTAAATATATAAAATATATTTATACCGCGGTCATTGTAAGTTATTCATAGTGTTTTCAGTTTTATAATTATTTTCAAATTTATTCATCACTTTTCTAACATCCAAAACTTGATGTCATAGTTTTGTTATCTGTTAATAACTGCGATTAACAAATAAAACTAGGTTTAAGCCAGTTTTCTAGTCCAATACAATAGTTAAGTGTAAGCCAACATTTTGAATTTCAAGATGGCTACCAGAAACAGCTATCAACTTGCCTGGATATTTGCATACATTGAACATAGTCATGCTGTAATGAGTCATTGGGTAAGTCCACTTCTGCACAAGCAGAGGGAAGTCTGGTTTTAAATGATTTTTGCAAAATGCATTCTATTCCCAGCATAAAATTAAATATTTTTTTGCATTATCCAAGTCCCTGTATAGTAACGATTCATATGCAATAGAAATATCATAAACTTTTGCTGCAGTTAAGGAGGAAATGACATAATTTGGACTGCAAAAGAAAATGGATGAGTCCTAAAATATTGACAAACTAGCTAGGGAAAAGCTTTGATAAAGATTTCAAGCTGAATGTATGCCCTTGGGTCTGGTGTTATCGCTTTTGAAAAGGTTATGGACTTGGAGTGTAGCCAAGTTAATAATAAATTGCTGTATGCACAGAGAGACTTTAGATTGTTTATGTTTGGTGGAGAGGATTGTAAAAATGGAAAATTGATCAGAAATGTTGGCTGGTCGCCAGAGTAATATAAAAAGCTGATCCTATGTGTTATAGTTGATATAAACAGAACAAAATCTAAATACATTCAGGCTTTTGTAAAGTAAATCCATGTTTTGTTGAAGGCTTACATTGTAGGACAATAGGGATATTGAATTAGATTTAGAACTACTTGCTTGCGGTGTTAAATTACTTCAAAACCATGTTTAAACATTAAGAGTGCAGATCTATAGAGGGGGAACAAAAGCAAATAAAATCCACTTAACATATTTGTATTTGGTTCAATACAGTTTTTGGCGCAAAGTTTTGAAAAGTTTGCCACATCAACAAATATAGATTGAATTCAGCTGGTTACTGGGTAGATTTTAAATCTTAAAAGTTTGTGTATTAATTGATTTTGGTTAGGATGTGCCATTAGTACTTATTTGTTACAGACAGATCAAAAAGATTGGCCGTTATGATTAATATTGGCAACTTAAATGTCATTGCTTTTAAATTCATATAAAACAATTATACTAATATAAAAGGAATATTATAAGTTGAAAATCTATTTTTAAGTAACAAAAATTACTGTAATTTTTGAAAAGGTGGTAATGAAATCTAGAGAATTATAAGAATTTTATGAATGAAACTAGTGTAGAAATAATCTAGATGTCATACATGTACATTTTGATTTTAGCTTTCAGACCATTGTATCAATTCTGACAAATTAAGGAGTTGAAATTCTGAAATGAAATCAAAACTAAGCTTGAAATTCAGTTACCATTTTGGTTTATTTATTACTGTTATGCACATTAGGCCAATCTTTTACATAACTTCATCAAGGGATGGGTCTAAAATATCTTTCAAAAAGTTAAAATTGAACTTATAAATCCCGCACAGCAACTTATGAGACTTTAGGAGCAGACTTTCTCGCAAAATTTTGAAATTCTGGCACTGTTTTTCGAACGATTCCGGACCAGAGAATGTCATCATTATACTGCTTTATAAAGTTGAGGAAATCAGTGTGGACTGGTTGCGAAATAAAAAAAAACGACAGACATTATTATTGATCAGACACAAAGCTTCCTGCAACATCACTTGAGAACCCCAGATCACTCAGGGAAAGAAAACTTTTCTGTGTGTAATGAAAGGAGAAAATGAAAAAAAAAGAAGTGAATCAGCATTCTGTGGTAGAACAAGAAAACCCCAGAGCAAATCTTTCCCTAGTTAATATAGCAATGGAGAAAAAAAGTTAGAAAACAGATACTGCCCCGATCAATGTTTTGTTATAAAAGAAACAGATGTGTACCATAACAGTTCAGTCATTTATTGTAACAGCTGGTATAAGTCATCACCTTATTCTTCAGTTAAAACAAAAATTTGCTTTTATTATAAAATGGTATCAATCAAACAAAAATTGTATTTGTTCATTATAATTTCTTAAAACCGTAACCATAAATTTTATACAATTTGAAATTATTTTTTCTGCAAGAATGATTCTTTTTTTTTCTATAAAAGTGCTTCCGTTCGATATTTTTAACAATTCAAAGTGTGTAAAATCACACATTTTGTAATCTAAATAAAATTTGATTAGTTGTTTCATTTTTAAGGCGAAATTAATGTAACATATGTTTGAATTAGTCATGTGATTGTAAAATAGGTTAGTTTCATATCTGTTAATTTAAAACACCACATTTTTTCACATCCGGAGATAAGAAACAAGTTGGAGTGTTTTTAGTTTCCTTCGAGGACACGTATCCGCCTTCTTAAACCGGCAGTTCGCTGGCTGTTTAAACTTTATTATACATTGCATTGCGTCAGACAGTTTCATAAAATAGCTGTCCTGAATATTTGCTAAAGCGATACGAAATACTTGAACTTCTTCCCGAGTCGAATAAACACGTTTTAAACGGATGTTATCTTTGTTGGCAATCTGCCAACTTGTTCACAAACATTGGATTTTATGGCCAACTCTTCTTGTGTATACATATCTACTAAATATTCATGCTCATATCAGTGTAACGAGAATGATAATGACAGATAGATGAATGTCACATCTAGCATGTATACAGTTTGGGTTTGATAAAGAAATGAAAAATCCCCCCTATCATAATATCTTCATAATGGGCGTACAGTACAATCAGTGCGTTGAGGAAATAGGTATAATGCTCGGCATAATGGCTTGGATAATGAATGAATGTGTACATTGAAATGTTTGAAAGAAAATTTGAATACTACATATTGTACGGATTCCCATTGTGGTCTTACATTTTATAAAAATCCATTTTTAACACAAAAAGATCTTGAAATGCTGGGTCTCTTTCAAATTATTCCTCCTGAATGCAAGTGACATAGCAAATTTAAGACTGAATTTCTATTTTACACAAACCTGTTCTTAAATAAACTGGTTGTCATGGATACAGTACGAACATATAAGATTGAGAAAATAACGCATTTGCTATCAATTTTCTCAACACGTTTAGAAAAGCTATATTTATAAGCAGTTAAATTTAACATTATATTGCATGTAAAATTAAGTTGCCATTCTTGTTATGATTGCAAAATTTAGCGGGCCACGATTAGTGCTTTAGATTCTTTAGTTACACACAAAGTGGAACTTTGACTCAAACTGTGGTATATTGGTCTTCAAGTTCATTTTGTTCATATTTACAAACATTATTTAAGTTTATTACACTTTTGTAGGCCACTGTTTATTGTTTTGATTATATACCTTTTAAGCTGATTTTAATATTACGATTTGTTCATCATTGCAAGTACATAAGTAACCAATGGCATGAACACATTTGATGGACATGTTTCAAAATATATTATATTTAGATGAGTATCAATAATATATAATTATATCTTCATTATGAGAAATGTGAAGGGAATTTATTATTTCATTTTGGTTCTGTTGTATTTTTCAGATATGGAAAAATTCAAAAAGTGAAATTAGAAAGAAAACCAGACAGTTCATCAGATAGTGACGAAAAGGAAGAAGGATGTATTACTGGTCTTACTGCTACTGTTGCATTTACTGACATTAAATCTGCATCAAATGCGCATAAAGCAGAGAAAAATATTGGAAATAATGTACTATCTAGTGAATATAGCTCCGGTTTCGGGGCCACCGGAAGTGTTGTGAAACGTACGCATGAACCAGAGATTTTTCCACGAGTGCCCCCTCCTGCACCCTTTCCAGCTAGAACAAAAGGGTAAGTTTTGCAGGTCTGAGTTGAAAAAGAAAAGTAGATTGTAAGCTTTTTCTCAGGAAATTTCTTATTTTATCGTGTATAAATGTAAGTAATCGGGGTAATTGGAAAGAAATCTTATTTGATCAAACCTTACCTTATTGTAATATCGCGTTTTTGAGAATTGTACTTCAACATTCGTATATTTGACATTTGTGTCGAAAAATTTCTGAAACATAGATCAAAAACTATTGTTGTGTCACAAATCTTAAAATGTACTTCCTAGTTAATTGTTATTATTAGTTTTACAATAAGTTTATTTTGAATTGCAAAAGGAAATTAAGTAAATATAACAACTTTAGTGTCCGCGTGTCTGGTTTCAAGATACAATCCTATGATTAATTTCAAAACATTTCATGTATTGGTGTATATTGTATACATGAAGGTAGAGTTTACATTCATTACTTTGTGGTCAAAGCTATTTTAAAATATGTCGCATTTAAATGGATCTTCTTTTGCTACAGCTTGCATGTTGTTGTTTTCATTTGTATAATATGACGGTAGTTGTGTGTTTTTTAACTCTTTGAGTTTTTGTTATTGTGACGATTTTTATTTTTTAAATGGATTAACACGACGGCGAATTATTGTGGATGTGAAATGAATAGGTTTTATATTTTGTTGAATTGCTAAGTTAATAAGCCAGATATCTGTATGATTTTCCTACTGTATATGGATTGAAAATTGACACTTCTACGGATAGTTGTGATCTTATGACAGAAATGAGACCGTATATATATATATATTATATATATATCTTTTGGAATATATAGCATATGATATCTAGAGTGTTGTGATGGGGATTAATTTAATTCTCGGTGGATATAACAGACTGTTTATATTGTATAGGAACCATGTTTTTGACATTATTTGTTAATGTGAGTGTATATATATAATATAAACATTATATACAGTATGTAAGGAAGAATGAATAATGGTTTTAAATAGAAGGTACATAAATATGGGTTCCTTAAAAGACTGCAATATTGGTGAAAAACTGATGTTTCTGGAAGTATTTACATGAATGCGTGGAATTTATTTGCACTCAAAATAGGAATAGTTATGTTGTTAAGAAAGGAATGTACACATTATTGGAAATACTAAATGTTCATAGATTCACTGATGGATTATCTAACTAAGGCATATAATAGGTAAGTATTTGGAATAAGCATGAATTTTGTTTATGTTTTATAATTATAATTCTTTCAGTTTAACCCATACTCTGCTGAAATTTCTTAAATTGACTTGCCCAGCTCTATCTATTCTTTTATCAATTTTTGGAATATCAAGCTGAAAATATAAAGTTTTTGTCAGCCAACACTGTGTAGGGCGTTAGCATACAGGTTGGCCCGGCTGCATACTGGTTGCAAAGACTTATCACTTTCGGTTTCAGCAGGGTGAGGGTTAAATACGATGATTTGCATGGCATTGCACTGATGTTTTGTACATTAATATGATACATGTAATAACACAAGGGTTTCAGATGCTTGCTGTCTTTTCATTAGCAAGTTTTTGTAAATTGCATAGATTTTATGTACTTCCAGTTTAAGTTTTAGATATTAATTATGGCAAAACAAGGATTTGATATGATAACGAAACCCTTGACCATGGAAGCAGACTATATCAATATTGGTAGAAGACCACTATTTACATTGGTAGCAGTCAACTATTTATCGGAGGCACATTGATAAAAAGAAAATAAGGACTAGAATGAATGTTGGAGGCAGACCACTAAATGGGAGCGTGTGGAATAAACATTAGCTGTTTGGAACAAAACTATTCTATGTTCTATTGCCTAGCTATTGGTACATGTTTTAAGAGCAGGTTTATAATTTTATATTGAATTAATTTTTAACTTGACATTTTTCTTTGTTAATAAGGCATGCATATTGATTTTTCAAAATAAAAAAACAAACAACAGCCCTGTTACTTGATACTTGTTTCAAGTCAATTATTTTAATTCCTTTGTTCTCCTACATTACAATACATATTTGAGATATAGATTATATAGACAAAGGGGAAAATGCCAACTTCTAAAGTGTATTTAATAATAAATGACAGTCATTTTCAAATATTATTCATTAACAAGTTTTGATTTGCATATTTTGTAAATGTTATTCAAGTTGCTGCCAAGAAACATCTATACACATTTCAAGTACTTATTAACTATAAATTAAACACATTCAAAGCAAACGAAGATATTTGATTGTTTGTTAAAACTTCATAGAAATTCAAGCATTGAATAAGAATCAGTTTTAGACAAGCTGTTTAAATGATGTGTGGTAAATAAAGACCATTGTTCGAACAGCCATTTTAGAAAAATTGTAAATTGTCAGCTACTTAAAGATTTTAACCTTTACCCAGCTTGTGTCCAGTGTAGTTCAAGATCAACCGGTACATGTTTGCCATCGGATCACGGTAGACAAAGTTCGCTTTTTAACAATCAGTACTTATTATGGAAAAAAAATGATTGTTGTTGTCCAGTATGAAAGATGGACGAATCTTTTAAAGATAGTTTGAGAGGTATGGGTTAATAGTATGACAGAAATCTGAATCTCTTATACTCTCACTATGGTCAGTTTACAATTTAAGTCTAGTCTAAAAAAGTAGCCTTAATTATTCTGATGTCCTTTGTTTTGTTCAGATTGTTTGTTTACGACACTGTTATAAAATTGTCAAGTTGTGATTGATATGTGACGAGCAATTCTCATAAAATATGAAAGGTAGTGTTTTCAGGCAGGGGAAAGACCTATTTTTATGCCTCATTTTTTCATGGACTGTCAAACTATATACTTATGTCAAGAGGGCAAGCCATTACATGTGTTGTTTTTTTGTGTACTTTGTCAGTACTTTTGCTTTATGAAGAGTCACAATTTTTTGTTGACCTTTTCAGTTGGTTAATTTTTTGTTAGCAAGGAATTTTTCCCAGTATATGAAAATAAATTTTGATTAAAGCATACTTTCTAAAGTTCATGCAAATTAGTTAACAATATTGCTGGTCAGAGCCTGTTGTTTGTTAGTTGTAAACCAATTTTATTATGCCCCCATTTTGAAAAAAAGGGGGTATATTGCTTTGCACTTGTCGGTCCGTCGGTCCGTAGACCAAATGGTTTCCGAGTGATAACTAAAGAACCCTTAGGCCTAGGAACTTCAAACTTGGTATGGTGATTGGTCATGACCAGTAGATGACCCCTATTGATTTTGGGGTCAAGGGGTCAAAGGTCAAGGTCACATTGACCTTGAAAGCAAAAACGGTTTCCGATCAATAACTAAAGAACCTTAAGGCCTAGGAACTTCAAACTTGGTATGGTGATTGGTCATGATCAGTAGATGACCCCTATTGATTTTGGGGTCAAGGGGTCAAAGGTCAAGGTCACATTGACCTTGTAGGTAAAAACGGTTTCCGATCAATACCTAAAGAACCTTAAGGCTTAGGAACATTAAACTTGGTATGGTGATTGGTCATGATCAGTAGATGACCCCTATTGATTTTGGGGTCAAGGGGTCAAAGGTCAAGGTCACATTGACCTTGAAAGCAAAAACGGTTTCCGATCAATAACTAAAGAACCTTAAGGCCTAGGAACTTCAAACTTAGTATGGTGATTAGTCATGACCAGTAGATGACCCCTATTGATTTTGGGGTCAAGGGGTCAAAGGTCAAGGTCACATTGACCTTAAAAGCAAAAACGGTTTCCGATCAATAACTAAAGAACCTTCAGGCCTAGGAACTTCAAACTTGGTATGGTGATTGGTCATGATCAGTAGATGACCCCTATTGATTTTGGGGTCAAGGGGTCAAAGGTCAAGGTCACATTGACCTTGTAGGTAAAAACGGTTTCCGATCAATACCTAAAGAACCTTAAGGCTTAGGAACATTAAACTTGGTATGGTGATTGGTCATGATCAGTAGATGACCCCTATTGATTTTGGGGTCAAGGGGTCAAAGGTCAAGGTCACATTGACCTTGTAGGTAAAAACGGTTTCCGATCAATAACTAAAGAACCTTAAGGCCTAGAAACTTCAAACTTGGTATGGTGATTGGTCATGATCAGTAGATGACCCGTATAGATTTTGGGGTCAAGGGGTCAAAGGTCAAGGTCACATTGACCTTTTAATTAAAAACGGTTTCTGATCAATAACAAAAGAACCCTTAGGCCTAGGAACTTCAAACTTGGTATGGTGATTGGTTATGACCAATCAGATGACCCCTATTGATTTTGGCGTTAAGGGGTCAAAGGTCAAGGTCACATTGACCTTGTAGGTAAAAACGGTTTCCGATCAATAATGAAAGAACCCTTAGGCCTAGGGACTTCAAACTTGAGATGGTGATTGGTCATGATCAGTAGATGACCCCTATTGATTTTGGGGTCTAGGGGTCAAAGGTCAAGGTCACATTGACCTTGTAGGTAAAAATGCTTTCGGATCAATAACTTAAGAACCCTTATGCCTAGGAACTTCAAACTTGGTATAGTGATTGGTCATGACCAGCAGATGACCTATTGATTTTGGGGTCAAAGGTCAAGGTCACATTGACCTTGTAGGTAAAAACGGTTTCTGATCAATTAACTAAAAACGCTTAGGCCTAGGAACTTCAAACTTTGTGTGATGATTGGTCATGATCAGCAGATGACCCCTATTGAGTTTTAGGTGAAGGGGTCAAAGGTCAAGGTCACATTGACCTTTAAGTAAAAACGGTTTCTGATCAATAGCTCAAGAACGCTTAGGCCTAGGAACTTCAAACTTGGTATGGTGATTTGTCATGACCAGCAGATTACTCCTATTGATTTTGGGATCAAGGGGTTAAAGGTCAAGGTCACAATGACCTTGTAAGTAAAAACGGTTTCTGATCAATAACTAAAGAACGCTTTGGCCTAGAAACTTCAAACTTGGCATGGTGATTGGTCATGACCAGCAGATGACCCCTATTGATTTTGGGGTCAAAAGTCAAGGTCACATTGACCTTTTAA